TACACACCAGCAAGACACTTTGAAAAGTTTGCTTGATTTGACTTACAAATTCAGTTCTCTAGAATAAAATATGACAAAGCTATTATGAAGTCAAACTTATACCATAGTACTTTAACTCTCAACTTACCATAATACAGATCGAATCACAAAGAATTTTGTCAAGGATAGTAAAAAAACCTCTTTTCTAATCTATTATCGTTACTAGTGACCAAAAATTTAAATTTTACTGCAGCAACGAAATTAAATAATTTAAATATTAGTTATAAAATTATATTGCTTCATTGTTATGCTCCGATAAGCATAATGAATGGTAACTTTTGGGATTCATTTATGGACCAATACTAAACGTATATTTTTATCGTATAGTTGTTAAATAACTAAACTATGAATATTCATGTTCCTCTTATTCTGAGCTTCATTTTGACCTATGAACTATTATTATACGATTACCATTCTTGAATTATGCCCTGTCTGTTAGTTACTACCTCCCATATTCACAGCCACATTTGGCTATATCTTGTACAAATGTTATTTCTTATTTTTATTGGTACGATGTGGTCTGTCTAGTTGGTATATAAACGATTCATATTGCAGAGTTTGAGATTGGTGTTCTGGACTTAACAGGTTGGGCTAAGCAGGAAGCAGGACTTCTCGTACGTGTCTTATGCGTCACTGGTCCGATAGATAATTCACTGCTCTCTAATTGGCAGTATCATTACGGTATACATTAGCAGAGCGCACAGGCCACAAGTTATAACATTCCTATTTTACCTGGTCATACTGTAGTTCAGTTCTTCTCAATTTCTTGGCTACATGTTTACTTAAGTATAAAAAGATTTTATCATAGTGGTATCATGTTCAAAAATTTCATTAAGAGAAATAAACAACAAAATTACAAACCTTTTGTGAACAAATATTTAATGCGGCAGAGATCAGTGACCCTGTTAGATAAATTTGGAATGTTTAAATTTCCCTTCCTAGTGAATAACTGAATATATGT